CTGGGGCATAACTTAAAGTTCCATTTGGACCACAATATTGAAACTTCAAAGGAGGATTGTTATTTGAAGGAGGTAATACTTTATTTTACTCCCATGTCTTACAAATGCTTCATCTTTACTAAAAAAAATCACTTTCGGGCATATAATGCTCCGCCTAGCGGTGCTCTTGTTTGATATTCTTATGATTTCACTCTCGCATTGCGAAATTCAATCCACAACACTAAGAGATTTAATAGAACAGAACAAAACAGAACATTGTTCTGTTCTGTTCTATAATTAATACTTCCTGGCCTCGAGGTAATAAAACTATTTCTGAGTTCTATCTCATATCTCAGGATTTTCATTGATCAGTGTACATTCTGAGCTGGTTCTTGACCAATCAAATACCTGAGATTTGAGTAAGAGCTTGAAAATGTCTTTATAACCTCGGGCCTGATTTTGAATTAGCGTCAATGCGACAAGGACCAAATTATTCTTAACATATGACATTTTTTGATAATTAGATATTATTTATTATGATATAATTTATTATGATATGGAAACTAATAGCAATATTGAACGAATAAATTGATCGATAAGTTAGTTTAATTTAATAACCTTGTTTCATTTTATTTCTGTTAGGATAACATAGAGGCGTCCCAAACTGAGTCAGAGTGTCATGTACACATTTCAACGGTCAGTATATATGGTTCAATCTGTTTCCATACTCAATTATAGTCACACTATAGGGTAATAGACTGATTGATTAATTGATTGATTGATTGATTGATTGATTGATTGCCGACAGCTCTGCATTTCCGCCCAAATCGATTATGATGTTTCTTTTACCAAATGACCGTACGTCTCCTCCCAGGGAAATGCTTAATTAATTTAATAATGCTAATTAATAAGGACTTGCATTTGCAAATATTTGTTGTTGTTTTTTTTTTTTTCATTATTAAAAGAATACGATTCTCTTTATATATGCAAAATTTAAGAAAAAATATGTTTACTTGTTGTTATTTTCCTTCTTTGCCTAGGTAAAAAATGTAGAAACTTTTGGAAATGTATTTGAAAAATATGACTTTAGTAAAATAATTCTTCAGACCACTCCTACAGCAGGAACATGCGGAAGACTTTGGCACATGGCAGTATGTCGGGCAGGAGTTGATGTAGATTTGCATAATGAGGAATGTTATGATGTTTTAGCGGCCAGAACTTCGGATGAAACTTCCGGATATGAGAGAATACGCGGGACGAGTCCTGTCGCCGAGTGTATTATATATAGTGTCAGGGTCAGTACTTGAAGTTAATAATATGAGAAAATATCTTATATACATTTTATTAGTATGTTTGTTGTACCGCCAAATATCAAAATTTACAAAAAATAAGCATACAAGCAGATTTACCTCATTTCAATAGTGAGCTGAAGTCATTATCTGAAACTAATTAACTACAAGTCAGCAATCATTGATAGCTCCTAGCCTCCTATGTACAGCTCTCTGTCCCTCCGCCCCGAATAGACCATTCTATTTCTTAAATACCGATTAAGACTAACAAGTAAAAACTGGTTTTTTTTGTTTTGTTTTTTTTTGTTTTTTCAAAAGCTTTTTATTTTGGTGTCTTGTTACATTTCCAAAAGTCACACATTGGTTATTTAGTTTAAAAAAAACTTTCCTTATTTAGCATTAAGTACAGATATAGTGCATGGCAGTTAGAACGCTACATTTTTAACATTTATTTTTGCTTTTTATTACATGCTTTTCGGTGGTTTATAGAAATTTATTACATGTTTTGCAGTAGATTACTGAATTATAACGGTTAATTATATTCTGATAATTTCACAGTAATGATTACCAAATATAATTTCACAGTAGCCGAACTATATTTGGCGTAAAAATAAAATATTTATCATTAATGAATGTTTTTTTCAGCGGAAATGTAGTCAATCATAATAAAAAATGTACGTGATAACTGTAGTTCGTAAATATTTACGAACGTTGTGCTGAAAAACATCTAAAATCTAAAAATAATCATGGAATTATATTTTGCTTCAACATTGTGACGTCATTATTTGATGACGTCATGAAGAAAAGAGCATGACGTTACGCGGCAAAAATCAGTAAAATGGTGTAAAAATCGATAAAAAATCATGAAATAAACAGAAAATTTGTTTGTTTTACATGTGAGATCAAATAATATTTCACTCGTGAACCCCAGCTATTATATTTTCACTCGTGGCTACGCCACTCGTGGAAAATATTGAATCTGGTGTTCACTCGGTGAAATATTTTTCGATCTTACACTGAAACAAACAAATATCCTCTATATATCAGTGATATAAAACTGGTAATTTCACTGTTTGAAACAGTGAAATAAAACTGGTAATTTCACTGTTTGAAACAGTGAAATTACCACTTTGATAATTTCACTGTTTTGAATTTAAGCCCCTTACGTTGTTTCAGTGAAATACCAGCGTGCACAGTACTGGGTACCAACTTAATGACGTGACGTCGTAAATGACGTCACGTTGTATTATTATTTGGCGCGCTTTTCATTCAGTATTAAGTTAAATGTCTTTTTAAAACGTTTCTTTTCATATAATAAAAAGAAAATTTGTTTAGTTTAGTGTAAGATCGAAATATATTTCACCTTGTGAACACCAAAAGTTCATATTTCACTCGTGGCTGCGCCACTCGTGAAATATACCTTTTGGTGCTCACTCGGTGAAATATATTCCGATCTTACACTGAACTAAACAAATATCCTCTATATCTTTATCACATTCTTTTTTTCTTCACATTTAGGGCTATTTTCTTGTTAATGTGATAGAGGCCTTATATCCTTACGTCCTTAATTATATTTTACAACATTATATGCAGTAATTACTACAGAAAGAAAATTAAATTCACTTAAGAGACTGAACATGCAAATTGATACTTTTTTTCAGTCGTTTGAATTTAAGCGGCAGATAACTCAAAAAGTAAACATCCAATTTTCTGTGCGTATGTAAAAATGTATTAAAACTGAAGAAAAGAAATGTTTTTTAAAACACTATTGATCCATTAAAATGTTTATTTTTTTATCAGGTTCAGTCTATTCCGGGAAGATGCATTAGACTTGGTGGGTCAAGGAACCGTGCAGTTTGCCAATCAGGGTTGTACTTAAATGACAGTGAGGAGTGTCAGCGTTTTTTAGCGGCAAGCGAATTGAACAAGTAGAACTGCTGTGATTTGCAGCAAAATGATGACGTTTCCTAAAAAGAGTTGACTTGGAGTGATTTTAAATAAAAGTGTGAATTGTATAAAATAAAATGTCTGCACGCATTTTAAATGATAGGCGGTCATTACACATGAATGGCATGAGAAAATAATCGGATGAAATACGAGAAAATCATGTGCGAGTTTTATCCATTGAAAATCCGAAAACGAAAGATATGTTATCAATACATATTATTAAAGTAATAATTTTAAAAAAAAACAGTTATGATGTGGACATTTAGACACCAAATATGATTTAATATTACAGACTAAGTTTTTTTTCAAAAAGCACCATGATCTTAAACAGAATATTGACTTTACTTTTTTTTAAATTAAGATAATGTAACTCTAGTTTCCAAAGTACTTTTTAATATTTTATTTATGAGAAGCTACTGTAGTTGTATAAGGATATGACTTAATTATGATCCGCATAAAAACATGCTTTGTTGTCATTTGTACAGTGCCTATAAAACACCATTTCTTTAAAAGAGACAAAAAAGGAAAATACAAAAAGCGATGATAGTGATCAATATTAAAATATTAAACCCCGCCGTTAGGGCATAGACAAAGATTTGGCAAAATGAAAAAGAATGAAGATGAATATGATGAGCGTCAGTATGATTATTACTGCTAATTTTACCAAATATTTCCCCAATTTACATCACTTCCTATTAAAGAAAACAGTCCGCTTAAGCTTAAAGAGGGGGTGGGGTAGGAATATTTTCTAGACGAATTTATTGTTATTTAAGGCTACATCTATCCAAGTATTCGGTGCTCATTGTCATTCTGTACATGGCAAGTTTTATAATATATACAATTTCGTATAAAAAGTAATTTCAAGTAAAAGGTATGAAGTATATTTTACTCACATAAATAGAAAAATGTTGTTTATCAACTTATACAAAGAACTTATATAAAAGTTTATTCTTTCTTTCATTTGTCAAAACTCATTTGTGTAGTATTTCCTATATCTTTCTTACATATCATCCCCAAATACTTAGTCAGAATTTGAAAAGCTTTCCAGAAACGAAGACAAAATTTAAAAAAAAGTTAGTGTAGAAATTCTCATAATGAAAACAACGACAGAGAAATATGTGTAATGTCTCTGTAATTTATTGCTCTTCTTGATTTTGCTTAGTGCTTGCATCCTCTGTATACCAAATAAAAAACAATAAAAAACCTTCGAGATGAGTTAACCTATTCTTCATATTTTTTACCAACAAAATAGTTCATATTTTAATTGAAACAAAATATTGAATAATTAAAGGAAATGTATGAATAGGTCCATTAGCCAAAAAAACAAAAACAAAAAAAAAAGCCGCTGAAACTATTTGAATAATTTATTTTCCCTAAAAATGCAACAAAAATGAGTCACTATGTTTGTCGTTGGAAATCTTCCCCTATATATCCAATACGCGCCACCCGACCCAATAATGGAAATGGTTTGTCTAGACATTGATAAAACATTGATTAAGCCATGTTAAAGGCATAACACAAATCATATTAGACATTTCAAATAGCATTTTCCCTATATTACAAGATATCTGGCGTGGATTTCCCTTTATTATTGGTGATTTTATGGAAATAGAACGGACGGAATGAGAACAAACAATTTTTCATCTGGTCGAATTACATAATGCACGTCAAGATTAGACGTTTTATTTGCTTCCATTATTTTTGTGATGCTTATCTCGTTAAAAATGAAAGAACAATTGATGTTTGACCTCTAATAAATTTGTTTTTGAAGTTTTCGACCAAGAAAAAGATATCTCGTTCAATGCAGCATTTGCAGACTGCAGTTTCTGCGCAGAAATCTGCACATATAGCAAAAGTTTGGCAAATTATCATTCTTGTTTATAAGTTGCATGTTGGCATTTTATAGGTTCAGTAATCAGTTAGAGAAATACTTCATTGAAAACGGATTTAATAAAACTTCGCCAGGCGTTTCTTTAATTTATTTCAACTTAAACGGTAATTCTTTTAGAATTTTTAAAATAATACACAAAAGGGACAATAATGCCTGGTGTTAGAACAACATGCATTTTTACATTGGGACTTGCAACCATGCTTTTGGTCGGGGAGTGTTTCGCACAGAGCAACCCTAGACGCCGACAAAGGAACAGGTCTCAAAACCGAGGAAGTGAGGTAAGCATCAATTATCTCATTATTCGAGGCATTTTTTCTTCATATTTTAATAAGGAGAACTAATAGTAATTTCATTTGAGTTAAATTTGTTTGGGGTTTTTTTTGTACTCCCTTATTATCTGTAAAGTACTTGCATTGAAATATAAGTATTAAAACTTTGAGATTTTTTTCTTCTTTGTTTTCATTGTTTTTAGTTCATTAGAAATTAGAGTAAAAACTGCAAATGCAGAACTGCCTCTTTGTAATGTAACGCATACATTTTATTTCACTTGATATTATTATATAAAAAGATTAGAAATTATTATTATTATTATTCAAAATGATTTTGCGACAAACTGTGCTAAAACTCATAATTATTAACTTTTACAATTTCTGACATTTCAAAAAACTTGTATTTATACTTTGGTTTATTAAATGTTATTTGTGTCAAATATATAGTTTCTTGTTTGGTCTTTTCCCCTCGTTAATATAATTATATTGTATTCAACATCTTTATCACTAAGAGTTACTTTGTGTGTGTTACAGAATTAAATAGATAAATAGTAATAATGAAATTTAATATATTTGTTTTGATTTCTAGGAAAAACCTCAAAAATCATTATGATAAGGTGAAAAGGGTCACAGGGATACGTTTGTCATGATATTTCTTTCTGGTTATTATAATATAACGACCAATGCTTGGTTGTAATATAATTTGAGAGAAAAAATAATAAAGATGTAATGCGTCTCGCTCAAAATATTATAGATTATTTCAATTTTAGTGGACTAAAGAACTCGTAATCTTTTAATTTTTAGTCAGACAGTTAGATTGAAGTCATTTTATTCAGAGTTAAATAATAACCTCAATAAAATCGGGAGATTCTGACGGGATTTTACGAATAACTTATTTATTGTATTTTTCCTATGTTTTTGTTGAAGGGTTTACCATCGGATGTCCAGCAGGCGTATCTAAGTGCGGTAGATGGCCAAGGCGCACCTTCGTATGAGAATTTCGGTCCTGCGGCTCAAGAACAGTCTGACAGTCAATCTAACAATACCGAATCTGATGGTAACAATATCGGGTCTGAAAATCAACCTACTCCAAATATAGAATGGGGCAACTTTGTGCCAAGTACACCAGCGCCAATTGCCGTCGAATGTTCAGTAGAAGTTGTCACGGTCAGTATATTTATTTTATTCTATTTTCATAGTGAACCCTAGTCATACAGTAGATAAATTGATTGACTGATTTTGCTTTATTTATTTATTTATTTATTTATTTATTTATTTATTTATTTATTTATTTATTTATTTATTTATTTTATCTATCTATTTATTTATTTTTTATTTATTAATTTATATTGTTTACAACTCGCTGCTAACTGCTATAATTCCTAGTTTTATATTTGGAAATAATTATTTTGTCCATGTTCCAAATTATTATTGAGTGTCGTTTCCTTCAAATCAAAATCATTGCAAGTTTTTTTACCCTGTCACTCCGTCTAAACCGACCGTGGCGTTTATTAGATACATTTGAGCCGCGTCACGACAAAACCAACACAGTGCGTTTGCGACCAGCATGGATCCAGACCAGCCTGCTCATCCGCGCAGTCTGATCAGGATCCATGCTGTTTGCTATCAGTTTCTCTACTTGTAATAGGGTTGGTAAGCGAACAGCATGGATCCTGATCAGACTGCGCGGATGCGCAGGCTGGTCTGGATCCATGCTGGTCGCAAACCCATTATGTTGGTTTTGTCATGACGCGGCTCATTTCTCATTCGTGTTTTGATAAATTTCCCAGTCCAAAACAGAATGCTCGGGAAGTGCATTGATATTAATATATACTATTACATATTGTATTATGACGTATTCATCATAAGTGTATTAAGAAAATAAAGTATAACAATAGTACAACACATTTAAGTACGTATATATCGTGAAACGTTGCATCGTATTACAGTATGTACATAGTATGTAGTTGTTATGACCAACCAAAATCTTAGATTTTGGTTTCTGTACATAGAAAACATGGAAATTAGTCTACTAAACATGTGTATGTTGGATTATATGAAATGTAGGAAGTCATGTATGAATGCAATCATTAATGATAATAATCAAATGTTTATATTTCCAGACACGTCAACAAGGCGGTCGATGTACAAGGCTAGGTGGCGAAAACGGGCCATTTATTTGCCAGAGTGGTCTCCTTTTTGAATTTAATAGTGACTGTGAAGGAATCATGGATAATAGACAAGCAAGAGAACAGCAACAGCAGCAAAGGGAGCGGCAAAGACAGCGACAGCGGCGGCAGCAGCAGCGAGAGCAACAACAACCATAAAATATTATAACAGCAACAACAAAGTGTTCTTGTATTATAAAGCTTCCAGTCCAATTATTACATCAACTATATTTATAGCGTAGTGTCATTGTTTAACAAATTAACATTATAATTTATATGTAATTATTAAAATGTATCACCTGCAAGTTCTATCGCAAACAAAGATATATCAATGCATTTAAATTCAAACCGTTACTTACAATACAATCTTTTTTGAATTGGTGGATAAATATTGTATCACCAGAATCAATGCTAAGCTTTTTGTCAATTATTCTCTTAATTCAAATGCTTATTATTAATATCTATATAACAGATTAATTAATGTAATTATTCACAAGAATCAATGCTAAGCTTTTTGTCAATTATTCTCTTAATTCAAATGCTTATTATTAATATCTATATAACATATTAATTAATGTAATTATTCTGCTTTGCAAATATTTTATTTAATCTTTGTACAGAGGGCAAACAGTACGAATATGCTCCTCATTTTAATAGAATAAACACTGATTCTATGACAATATATAGAAAACCTAAAATCTCTTTCAGTTTTTAATTGTCTTCCCTTTTCTGTCATGAGTATAGACCTTTTTACACTACGATATTTCCTTGGAAATGGAAGTAGCATTTCGTGCATGCTCATCAGATTTCAACAACTTCATAAACAATTCGATCTGATCTAAATGATTAGTTTAGAATAGTTTACTTTGACAAGTAATCGTTGCAAAGGTGAATTTAACTTGAACATTCTGTATTTATGCATTCATGGTCTTTCAAATTGACAATATTTGCATTAGAATTCAGCCGTCCGTTGCATTTGAGTATACTGAAATCCGTCATTTCGATATAGGGGTACGAAGTATTGCTAGTGTGATAATTAAAGCACTTGTGCATGCGAATTCTTTAGGCGATATTGTGCTTACAGGTTGCAATAAACGTGATTTCAAATTCTGTCACCCGGAAAACAGCATTTTGACATGACTAAAAGCGAGGAAGTAAATATTGGTGTGCGTGCATAGTCAAATGATTTGAATGTTTCTTTGTGACCGAAGTGTTTAAAAACAAAAATATTTCAATAACCACTTCGTTTGCTTGTAAATTAACAGAACTTCGAATTAACGAATGTACCTAAATAGTAATACAACGACACAGTCTCAACTCTTCCGTCTTGCTATGCTATTTTTATATTATCTAAAGTTTTTAAACATTCAGAAACACAATTGCTTTAGATTTGTCAAAATTAATTTTCATCCCAATTTCTTTAAAAAAAAAACACGCATTGCATTTACTTGACTTTGAAACAGAGCAATAGTTTCAGCTACCTGGGATACATCGTCTGCAAACAATATGTAGCAATCTTAATGTCTTTTGCAATAAAAATCCAAGAACTTTCAAGGAAACTTAACTAAGCTTACTATTATAATCATTTCATACTAAAACATGAATTATAACTGTAAATTTGTAATGCTATTTTGACTTTTATTCCAGACATATGCTTTCAAAAGTGTTAAATCTAGACATTAGATGATACTTAGACACATATTTGTTATAGTTAAATTCTATAAGATTTTTTATATCATATTGTAACTTTACCCGTCATTTTATTATTAAAATGACCTTTTTTAATTAAATTGTAATCTTTGTCATTTCTTTTCCCCTGAAATCAAATATAGCCATCTGACCTTATGGAGATGTGTTCATAAATAATCTTATAGTATATATAAGAAAAACGTTATGTAACTATTGTAAATATGACTGTAAAAGGAGTTAAAATCAATCTTTAAAATATATGTTCTGTTCACCAATGATATTATTTCCGTAAACACCAAAAACCGAGACGTCACCCTATTAAACATCAGAACAAAGACGTCATTATAAAATTAACCAAAGTTTTATATCACAATAAAATGTATTTTGTTGATGATCATTCAATAAAAAGTTGTTGTGATTCCCCGGTGTTGTTTATTTATTTTATTTTTATTCACTCATTTTTAGATGAATGAAACATGATGTTTTTACATGTATATGATTCAGAAGATTTTTTTATAAACATTATTCCAAAACTAATTTTCCTTAGTTTCATATAGGATTTTTTCCTTCTATATAACAGTGAAGCTTTTCGTGCGTAGTTTTGTATGAAAACTTATGCTGAATTTGTTTATAAACATGGCTCTAGAGCCGAAAGTAACTGAGATACTGTCAATTTAAATATGATCGAGAATGGGTAATCTTCAATTAAAAAGTACACAGCGGTGATTTTATTGCATATTCAATCTGATTTAAATCAGCTCCTGACTAACGCTACGCTTTAGGATCTGACATCCACCCATAAGTAGTCACCTTCTCGCGGTCTTTCTAACAACGTATCATTGGCGAACGTTCATTATTTTGAAACAGATGAGGTTTTTTATTGTAACCCTTGAAAAACCAATACTAAAAAGGTACTTTTCAGCGGTTAATATTAGAAACAGCATCGCTTTCAAAATTGTGAAAGCTCGTCGATGATTTGTCTTTTGAAAGACCACGAGAAGGTGACCTCCTGTTGTTGCCCGTCAGATTCTACTGCGTAGCGTTAATTAGAAGCTATTTTTAATTAGATTTAATATTTTCATCAATTACTGTTGATGATCTTTATCTTGACATGTGAAGTAATCATTAAAAATGTGACACGGTGAAAAATACGGAAATAAATTTGGCACAATTAATCATACCGGTGGTTTCAAGTTAATATCTCTATGCTTTAGAAGTTTGAAAAAATAACCCAGGGCAATAACTAATGAATATAGAAAGTATATTATCATTCTTATGTTCTGCATTTCTCCTCAATGAAATATATCCCACTTATATAGTTTCAATTTGATGTCTCAAATACTTTTCGAGTTATCCTCAGGTGAATCTAACAGTATTTGAGGTTTATGGGCTGTTTCTTTGGTTCTTTTATGGCATTTTCTTGCATTCAACAGACCAGAGAAAAAGTCCTTAAACCCATAGTTTATGTGGTTTCCTTCTTTTTTATTTAAGATAATGAACAGAATAAAGCTCATAAACCATCGGATGTAAGCCAGGAAGGATGAGAGAATGGATGTATACTTTAACCATTTTCCACCCTGCCTTTTAGAAAGGGGATCATTAATTCAGTCGTAATGCAAGTTACATGCGTTTGCAGAATAGGCCTAAGTACTAGGTTGTTTAACAGTGCTTAATTCATCACAATATTTTTTTGAACATTCTTGATTAAACAAGTTCTTATTACAAATGATCCCTTTGGTATTTCTCAACAAACAATATTAAGCGAAAAAGAGAAATATCCTGATAATGCTCTATAACTTACGATATGGTAATTTACACGTTTGATAAGCATGGCTTCAAAATCATGTGTTCGTGATGTGGTTATCACAATGGTATCATTAAAACTGTGTTGTATTCAAAATTAAAACGCGATAAGTCTAAAGCATAGGGATAAATCTTAAAATTCTTTACAAACGTTTTGAATGTATGTACATCAATTCAGAAGGGAGAAAAAACTGATATCCTTAAACATGAAATGCTTACAAATCAATTACCAATTTATCATCGTAATCAAAAGATCTTAATGCGTCCAGAATAGAATGTTTCTTGATTTTAGATAGAACAATTTCAGCTTCAGTAAACATTTTTGATACTTCTTTTATCTAATTCCGGCAATATATTGATCTTTCGAGAGTATACAATTCTCTGAAGGAAGAAATGATCTGTTCAATATAAGTCAATTATATTACATAATTCGCAGACATATCATTTTGATTAGGGTTTTATCTGAACTTTATTAAATATGGCAGGAAGAGACAGTAGATCAATTGTTAGTGATTCATAAATATATAAAAACTTATAAATCAGGTTTCTAGACCAATGGGGTCACACAGAAGAATCGCATGAGTCATTTTTTATTCTTTCCTTTTCGATACCAAATCGAGACCAATGACTAATCATTGCTATGGAATATATTTCACAATTATTTCTATAACCCATTCTACAGATAAAGTAAACAGGCTTTTAAATAAAATAAAAAATTGTAATTTCTTTGAAAATAAAAATAGAAAAAATATCAGGATTAGTTGCATTTGAATTACAAGTAATAAAAACAAGTGATCTGTAAGGGCTATTTGTTTTGTATCGAGACCAAGGGTTGGTCAAATGTACTATTTTCAAGTGTGACATAGCCCAGAAGGAAAAAAAATAAATAAGGAACTGCTGACAAGGGAGAGAAACAAATTTACATTTTTTTGTGGTCTCATAACAGCAGGTGACACGTGCCGTGTGGCAGCTGTAAAATGTTGCCCCGTACTTCACTTCAGTGTTGCTATATTTTTAGGTCCCTCGGGATTATTGATTCCATCACTTTATATGTTAAAAATGGAGTATCGCTGAAGCCGGGGCTAGGGGCGTGAGAGATGTTTCACTTTTTCATTATCCCTCAGGTACAAACTCAATCAAATCAGTCTGCAATTTTCATGTTATTTTAGTGTTATCAATGTTTCCGTAGTATCACCCTTTTCCAGACTTTGATACAAGTTACTGTTTTCGCCGAGTAGCATCAGAAGCTCTTACTTATAACTCGACAAAGTTCTCGCGATGAAAGTTATATTCATGATGATACGTTTTTCAAATGGAGCTTTCATTCATTTCGTTTCTAATTTATGCTATTCTTCTTACAACTTCAGTTAAGTTATTTTGATAACTTCCCATTATATTCCATAACACGTTTTCAACGTGCAATTAAAAGAGATACGCATGTGTATTACGGTTGTGGAACAAGACAAATATAACAAACTCTATCGCAAACAAAGATATATCAATGCATTTAAATTCAAACAGTCACATACAATGAAAGATTTTTTTTTGAATTGGTGGATAGATATTGTATCATAAGAATCAATGCTAAGCTTTTTGTCAATTATTCTCTTAACTCAAACGCTTATTATTAGTATTTGTATCTATATTACTGATTAATTGATGTAATTATTCTGCTTTGCAAATATTTCATTTAATCTTTGTGCAGAGGACATACATTACGGATTTGCTCCTCATTTTTGATAGAATAAACACTGATTCTATGACAATATCTAGAAAACCTAAAATCTCTTTCAGTTTAAAGTGTCTCCTCTTTTCTATAATAAGTAAATACCTTTTTACACTACGATATTTCCTTAGAAACGGAAGTAGCATTTCGTGCATGCGCATCAGTATTCAACAACTTCATAAACAATTCGATCTTATCTAAATGATTAGTTTGGAATAGTTTTTTCTTTTGACAAATAATCGATGCAAAGGTGAATTTAACTTGAACATTTCTGCATTTATGCACTCAGGTTCTTTCAAATTTGATGCATTCGAGACTGACAATACCTGCATTAGGATTTAACCGTCCATTGCATTTAAGTATACTGAAATCCGTCACTTTAAAGGTGTACATAGTATTGCTAGTGTGATAATTAATGCACATTATAGGCAATATCGTACTTACAGGATATAATAAACGTGATTTCAAATTATGTCACCCGGAAAACAGCATTTTGACATGACTTAAAGCGATAAGTATTTCTGAGGAAGTAAATATTGGTGTGCGTGCTGAGTCAAATGATTTGAATATTTCTTTGTGATATAGGTGACCGACATGTTTCAAAACAAAAATATTTCAATAACCACTTTGTTTGTAAGTTGAAGTCTAACATAACTTCGAATTAACGAATGGACAAAAATAGTTGTACAACGACACATCCTCAATTCTCTGAATGCTTGAAAATTTAGATAAAATAGAAAAATTATACTTTTTTTATTTGATTTTCATCTCATTTTGCTTCAAAAATCACTTATTGTATTAACCTGAGTTCAGCTGCTTGGGATACTTCGTCTGCAAACCTCAAAGCAATATATAAAGAATGTCGTTTGCAATAAAAAATCTAAGAAAGGAAACTTAACGAAGCTTACTATTATGATCATTTCATACTTAAACAATCACTAAAACATGAATTATACTGTAATTTTATAACGCCTTTTTGATTTTTATTCCAGAAATGTATTTTCTTAAGTGTTAAATCTAGACATTAGATGAACATAATGATACATACATGTCATAGTTAAATTTTATTAGAATATTATATTGTCAATTTATCCGTCATTTTATTATTAAAATGACAGACAATTCAACTGTAATCTTTGTCATTTCTTTTCCCCTTTAATCAAATATGACCATCTGAGCTTATGGAGGTGGGTATAGTATAAATAAGAACAACGTTATGTTACTATTGTAAATATGACTGTAAAAGGAGTTGTAAATCAATTTTTATAAAATATGTTCTGTTCATCATCGGTATTTTTCCGTAATCACTAAAAGGTTAAAAAGTTGATCGAGACGTCACCCCTATTAAACATCAGAACATAGACGTCATTATAAAATAAACTAAACTTTTGTAACATAATATAATGTATTTTGATGGTAATCATTCAATAAAAAGTTGTTGTGATTCCCCGGTGTTGTTTATTTATTTATTAATTTTATTTTTATTCATTCTTTTTTCAGATGAATGAAACATGATATTTACATGTATATGATTCAGAAGATTTTTTTAATAAACATTATTCCAAAACTTATTTTTCTTAGAGTCATATAGGATATTTTCCTTCTATATAACAGTGAAGCCTTGACCTAAAGGTTTTGGTGCGTAGTTTTGTATGAAACACTTATGCTGAATTTGTTTATAAACATGGCTCTAGAGCCGAACGTTACTGAGATACTGGCAATTCAAATATGTTCGAGAATCGGAAATCTTCTAGCTAGAAGTACACAGGGGTGATTTTATTGCATATTCAATCTGATTTAAATCAGCTCCTAAATAACGCTACGCTTTAGGATCTGACATCTACTCATAGGTAGTCACCTTCTCGCGGTCTTTCAATCAACCAATCATTGG